AGGAGAAGTGTTGGGGTTTTCTGAAGTTCCTTGGCTAGAGTAGGCAACCCTGTGTGGGCTCACTGGTGCCATGGCCAGAATTCTGTGCCCATGAGAGATATATTGGAGTGCTCTTCAGCTCCTCAGTTTAAATAGATGAGATTGCTGGCACCATGGCCAGAACCTTGGACTCTGAGAGAAACACTGAGGTGCTCAGCAGCTTTTCAGCTGAAGTGGGTAACTCTGGTTGGGGTCAAAGAGCCTTGAAGTGGGATCCTGTACCCCCCAGGAGAGGTGCTGGGGCTCTCTACAGCTTCTCAGCTGGATTTTGGAGTTCCTGGGTGGGGTCAATCTGGATGTCACTGGGATCTTAGATTCCCAAGAGAGACACTGCGGTGCCCTGCAACTCCTCAGATGGAGTGGGCTGCACTGGGAAAGGTCACTTGGGCTGTGGGCATGACCCAAATCCCAGGAGAGACACTGGGGTGCTCTACAGCTCCTCATATGGGTTGAGTTGCTCTGGGTAGGTCCATTGGATCTACAGATGGGACTCTGCACCCCCAGGAGAGGCGTTTGGGAGCTCCTCAGCTGGAATGGGTAGCTCTGGGCAGGTTCACCATAACTGCAGTGGGACTCTGTGCCCCTGGGAGAGGTGCACAAGCAATGGTGGTGGCTGAAGGCCCCAATTGGTTGGCTCTCAGGCTTTGGAGAATGTGAGCACTGGCTCCCTCTGTCTTGTCTTGGTAGTGGCCTCTACACTGTGCTAGACTGCCATTTCCCAGGGGTGCAGGGAACTATGTGGGTTTTGGGTGCCAGAGTCTTGGTTCGATGAGGGGGACTTAGGGATGTGGCGATGCCAGGACTGTTGGGCCCTAGGGCATAATGCACTCTGGTGTTGGCAGCCTGGGACCCAGGGGATGGGGTATTCAGTGTAAATTCCCTCTCTGGAATAATGCAGTTACGTGGGCTCTAAGCACCTCTCTAGACTGGGCTCATGGCCTGCAATGGCTTTACAATTCTCTTGTAGCTTTGATTACAGGCTTCCGTGGGAGAAGCATGAACTGTTGGATATTTTATACCCTTTCCCCACAGAAAGGAGTCTCTCTATGCTGCCGTCCTGAATTTCTGAGCCTCAGGGGGATTTCTTCGATATTTTGCTGAATTCTGGTGTTTTCTCCTGGGCACTCTGTTCAATGTGTTATTATCTGTTTGTTGTTTTGAACTTTTTTTGTGTCAGATGCGAGAGCTGGGCACCTTGTTAGCCGTTTTGAACTGCCTCCCATTTTTTGTACTTTTTGTAGAGGTATAAAACTGCACATTGTTCCTCAGATTTATGGTAGTTTTTGGTGAAATATAACTGTCCTTTTTACTCATATGGATAGATTTTTCTTTTCTGTGGGACCTACAAAGTAGTTCTGAAATGGGTCTAGGAATATAAGACCTAGACCCATTTACTCATACTTGCACATCCATTAAAGACTAGGTCTTTCTTACTGTGTCAAACTCCTGTGCCTGTTTCCTTTTTCTTTTATAATGAGTTCTTTGTTAGGATGCTTGGTAAAAATGGACATGCGGTGGGCCTTGTCTGAGAAACTCAGAAACATAAACCTTACACATTGGAACTAATTTCGACTTTATTATGGATACACAATGTGTTCTGTGTTTTTAGGAAAAATCATTTTCAGCAAAAAAATCTAGGGAATGACTAACCCAAATTTTACAGATTCTTAGATGAAAAACTTCATCGGTTCTATAGGGTAATCTGAATCTTTTAAATTTAGTATTTTTTAATTGAACTGAAGAATCTGGTGATAACTTAAAAAAGAAAAGAAAAGCTTTCCTTTACCTACTAATATTAAAGAAATAAACCTAATATAGAACAGTTAGTGTTAAGCAACGAATTTATTTCCTAAAGCCAACTATATAGTATTCAGGATGAGTATTTGATATGATTTTCCTGGCAATGACTCTTTCAGTTATTTACTGAGAGCCAAAAGAGGCCATTAAGTAGAATGTGTTTTGTTTGATTTAATCGCTTTAGCTCTTCACCTTGAAGGTGATATTTTCTTTTAAATTCACTTATACTTTCAAAAGGGATTTTTCATCAATAAATGTTGAGATTTGTATTTTTTGAAGTTAAGTGAAATTCTTACTACTATCCTTTTAAGGAGAAAGTAACAGCGTGCATGTCCTTACTGATATGTACAATGTCTCCTTATTTTTAGGACCATCTCATTTTTATTTGGCTTGGATAGTTTCAACATTGATTTCTTCTACACTTTCTCCAAAGTATTGTACTATTTTACCTTTTGGTCTCTGATGCCTTCTTAGGATATTAAGTAGATTTTAATTGATTTTAACATTATTTCATCGTACTTATTGTATTAGTTTCCTAAGGCTGTAATAATGAATTGTAACACAAACTGGCTGGCTTAGAATGACAGAAATTTGTTCTTTCACAGTTGTGAAGGCCAGAAGTTCAAAATCAAGTGTTGGCAGGGCCATTCTCCCTCTGAAGTCTCTGGGGAAGAATCATTGCTTGCCTACTTCTTAGTTCTGGTTGTTGCTAGCCATCATTAGCATTTCTTGGCACATTGTAGCTGCATCACTCCACACATGGCTTTCTTGGGTGCTTCAAGAAGTCATGGAAATAGTATTATCTTTCAATTCTGTTTTTCCTCAAACTTTTTGAAGTACCCTCAAATCTCTATCTAAATCTCCCTCTCCTTATAAAGACACCAGCTAATGGATTTAGGGCCCATCCTAATCCAGTATAACTGCATCTTAACTTGGTTACATCTGCAAATACCCTATTTCCAAATAAGGTGACATACACAAATACCTGGAGTTCAGACTTTACCATATCTTTGGGGGGAAACCCAATTCTAACCATAGCACCTGTTCTGTTTAATAACCTTTCTGGAAGCATATTGTAATCTTTATGCAACTTCCCTTTCTGTGGTCTATATCCTCTGTATCTTTACAGTATTTTTTACCTTAGTTATCCTTGTAGCTCTGACAGTTGTATTGAATTCTATGTTATGTATTGAACATTATAATCATGGTGGTTACTGTTGTGACTTACTTAAATAATGTTAATGATTACTACATTGAGAAAATTACCTTGAAATTTAAAAAGACCTGATACTTCTAATTTAACTATTATTCTGTTAGTACTGGTTCATTTCTGTGCTTGCTTATATTTAATTTCTGTAAAACACTGATATGTAACGCTGGTTTATAAAGGTTCTTGGCGATTTTTAGTGGGGTGTGGGCACAGTAAGTGCTCCACACATATTTGTTGTGGATTACCTTTGGCTTGCTAGGCTATTAGAGTGTAATTCTACCAAAGTCCACTTAGATTATTATGTGTAAGTGTTATATGTTTGGAATGCAGACTTTTTATTTCAGCTAACCATCTTTTAGAATTGTATATCTTGATTGAGTGAAATGATTGTATATTGATTGAAGTAGCTTATCATTCTTGGAAGATAACATGAAATAAATCAAATATTGCTATTTAAAACTCTTACTCTCTTATTTTAATAATGAATATCTTCGTTTTTTCTGAGAAGGCTAATAGATTTATTAGATTGTAAATTAACAACTTTTGGGGGAGTAATTGTTAGTTTCTACTCAGAGATTTCACATATTGAAAAAAATTCTCTATTCTTATGAACTAACATCTCATAGAAGTTTTTGTTGGAACCACTTTTAGTTTTTTTTTTCCAGTCCTATGTACAGGTTACTGTATTAGTATTTCTAAAAAGATTCTAAGATTTTACAGTGCTTCCATCCCCAGTATTGGTTTTCAACCCCAAATGTATGTTAGATTCACCTGGAGAGCTTTTTAAAAAATACCAATACCTGGGCCCTGTATGGCTTGGTATTGTCCTGGTTGAGACACCAGGATAGATTGAAAGATGGCTAGGAAGATTTTGTTGTTATTGTTGGTAATGTTTGTTATTTATTCTAATGTGCAACCAGGATGGCAACTTATATCCGGAAAATCTATTTTATGTGTGTATTCTATTATCTACTAATATATTTTTATTGTTTAAAAATAATATAAACCGGGGGTGGGGGGTGGGGAAGAAGATATAACAACTATACTTCCATGAAGTTGTTACAACAAGCAAACGGAAAGGACATTCTTGGGGGGGAGGGGAGAGAGGGAGGAGGGAGGGAGGTGTCGGTGATGGGCCATAATAATCATATACAGTGTATATTGACAAAATAAAAAAAAAAAAAAAAAGAACATATAAGATACCAAGAAATTAAATTAATAATAAATATTTAGGACCTATTTTAAGAAAAAAAAAATAATAATAATAATATAACAGTACCTCACTCTTCCACTTCTGCTCTTAGATCAGACCAATTCTAATTAGTCAGCTTTCCTCTCTTTACTCATTACAAATTTCTATATATGCCACTTGGATAGACTAAATATCAAATATAAAAATGAAATTTTGTAATTTCCAGTATCTATTACCTTTAGACATACTTAAATCATATAACTAAATTCCTTCATAAAATTTTTAAATCATGAAATTCTTAATTGAAAAGTAAAGTCAGAATGGCTTCCTAGTGTTTTAAAAGATGTTTGTATTTTGATATATATCATACATATGAAAATGTATTTCATACATATGGAAATGTATGGTATATATCAGAGTATACACTCACACATGTATTATTTAAAGAATATGATAATGAATACATCACGTAGCTACAGATTGCTTTTTTTGTTCCTTTCTTTTATGTCTTAGTTGCAGAGCCATGTTATTTCTCAGTATAAATTTATTGTTTATCTGTGTTGATTTGACATTGAAGTCAAGCTCTCTTGGTTTCAATAAGTTATATTATTCAGTCATTAGGCTTAAATATTTTTAGTCCTAGCAAACCAAAATATTTTAGATTGGCATAAAAAGATCTAGAGCAGTAAGCAGACTTTCCAAGTTACAGATGCATTTGCTGATGTATTATTTATTTTTGTTTTTATTGTCCTTTGTCCTTAGTGAAGCTGTGGTCTACCAACCTAGACAACTCAGTGGCAAGCATTGAGGCAAAGGCTAATGTGTGTTGTGTTAAATTCAGCCCTTCTTCCAGATATCATTTGGCTTTTGGCTGTGCAGGTAAGAAATGAAAGCTGATTTGTCTTCCTTTGATGTTGATTGTGTATCACAGCTGGGTTAGAAGAGCATTTTAAAATAAATAACTATCTTTTTAGGTTTAAGTTTTGTTTTTGTTATTGGACTCTAAGTTAAATATATTCAGTGTGCCATCATTATTCATTTAGTACTGTGACTTAATTGCACTATTCTGTCACCTATCTTTAGTACATACAGATAGGTTTGTTGACTTTTGTTTTTATTGTTCTAAGTGTGTGCATGGGTGAACTAATGCTTATTACTTATTCACAAACTTAGGTCGTAATGATGTTTAAATAATTAAGCTAATAATTAAGCTATATTGTATACACACAGGAATTTTTTCTTTTTTTTTTTTTTAAGGAGACCTATTAATTCCTTTAACAATTATTTATTCAGTGCCTACTATGCACAAAACATTCATCTAGGGGCAGTGAATAAGACAGAGAAAGTTTTGTATCATGGATTGCATGCTAACATAGTAAGTATTCAAAAAACTCTTAGTTATTATTATTATAGCTAAGAATCATTTGCTAAAGTATCTTTCTTAACTATAGTGACTATATGTCTGGGTTTGTCTGGGGCAGTCCTCGTTTACACCTGTTGTACTGTGATAATTACTATTAGTGCCTTCTTTCATTCTCAGAAGTGTCATGAGTTGTAACATAAAGTATATGGTCACCCGACTCTTAATTCCTTTATCTTCTATATCTGTTCTCCCCTCTTCCTGAATATTTACTAAAATAGTAGATGCCTATTGTAATTCAATTTCTGCTTGGTGAAATCACCTTCATTCTTTTTTTTTTTTTACTAATTATATCAAGTTTTTATATAACAGATAAGTTAGCACCATATCAGGAGAACAATAGTAACTTTTTAAAAGGAAAAGCATAATTTAAACCTTAACTTGTATCCTTTTCCTTTTCTCAAGTCACTATTTATGTCACTGGGATACTGACGTAATTTCGCGTGGGCTAACATGTAGATGTGGATAGAATTCTCTTTTTATTAGAATGTAATTTTTTTTTTAATGATTAAGTGCTGTTTGTTTCCATTTGAACCTACTACTCCCTTATTTAAATCCTTATTTTGTCATTAACTAGAAAAGTGACTTTGGGCAAGTTGGTTAACTTCTCTCCCAAAGTTCTTTATCTTTAAAATAGAGATAGAGCCCTTTGGGGCTGCTATGAGGATTGTAAAAGAAAGATGCTTTCATAAAACTCTTACAATATGTTGGTGCTCAATAATTATTTTCATTATTAATATTTTATCATACATTCAATTAAAATATGGACTCAGTTTATTGAGTTTTAATATATGTTCTGTTTCTTACACACTAACCTTTGGCATCATTTATGAATAGGATGCATTTATCAATATTTGATTAATATGTACATATGCCAAATAGGTACATCTCTGAATTTCCTTCCTAGAAAATGGGAAACTACTTTAAATAAAAATGCTTCAGCTCTCTGATAGGCAGTTTTGCCCCACTATTATAAATTTTCATACATTTCTTATTTAATTTTGTCATTTACTTTGCCATGTAAGCATTATGATTTATATTTTTCCAATTCTAGAAGAATTCTTTTGGAATTCTCACCAGAATTGCATTTTATTTATTTGTTAATTTTGGAAGCATTGACATTATTATGATGATATGTCTTCCCACACAGTTACATGGGTATCTTTATTTGTTTGGATTGTTTTTTGTCTTTCAGTGAGGTTTTATAGTTTACTTCATTTGGATTCTGAGCCTCTCAATTTTGTTTTCTCTGAATGTTATAATTTTTATTATACTTTTAAAGGAAATGTTATTTTCCATTCTTTTTTTTAGATATTTTTTGCTAAGCATAGACAGTAAATGTTGATATTTTGATATTTGTCTTATATCTAAGCATATTGTAAATTTTTCTTACTAACTAGTATCTTTTTAGTAGAGTCTTTGAATATTCTACTTATACTTGATATCAGCTAAAAGTGATAATTATATTTCTTTGTTGTCAGTGATTTATTGCATTCTCTACCTCACGGCGTGTTGTATACTAGTGATAGGTCCTCCCCCATGTATTTCATTTAGCCGAAAGGGCCATAGTGTTTTGCTGTTCATGATCTGCTTTTGGAAAATATTTTATTAAATCCAAATTGTTTTTATTTTATTGTTCCTTAATTAGAAGTGAATGCATTGTTTTATCTAGTGGCTTTCAGCATCAATTTATATAATCATATAGCTTAATCTGTTAACATAATGAATTTTGCTTATACATATTCTGATAGTGAATTAATTTCGTGTTTCTTATGTAAGCATTGCTTGGGCATAATGTAGAATTCTTTTGATAAACTGCTACATTTCATTGCTGGTATCTTTATATCTATATCCATAAATTAAATTTGTCCATGATTCTTTTTTTAATCATCTTTACCATTTTTTACATCTCATTAGTGTTTTGTAATCTTCAGTGTACAATTATTGAACTTCTTTTGTTAAATTTACTCCAAAGTATTTTATTTCATTTCTATTGTGAATAGAATTACTTATTAATTTTATTTTTGGATTATTTTGTTACTAATGTATAGAGAAATACAATTGACTATTATATATTGATTTTGTGTCCTGAACTCTGCTACCCTTTATTTGTCTTGTGGTTTTATTGTGAATTTCTTGGGATTTTCTACATGTAGGATTGTATCATGTGCAAATTAAAACAATTTTTTTTTTTTTTTTGTCTTTTTCCGTGTCCGGCAACGGATCGCAACCCTCAGTGTCGCCCCCGTACCGGACCGGGACCAGCAACGGGATCGCAACCCTCGGTGTTGCTCCCACGCCCCGCTCAGCCAGTGAGCGGGAACCGGTCTGTATGTGGGATCCGAACCCTCAGCGGGAGCGCCGCTGCGCCTCCCAAGCGGCGCACTATAGCAGTGCGCCACCGGGCCGGCCCAAATTAAAACAATTTTTAAATGCCGTTTTGCTTTATTGCATTAGCTAGAAAATCAAGTACAGTGTTGTATAGAAGTGGCAAAAGCCACTTTCTTATCACAGGGGATAGCATTTAGTACTTCACAATTAAGTGTGATGTTAGCTATGAGGACTTTTTTGTAGATAACCTTGATTAAGTTGAAGTTTTCATCTGTTCCTAGTTTGCCAAGAGTTTTTATCATGAATAAGTGTTGGATTTTGTCAAATGCTTTTTCTGCCCCTTGAGATAATCATGTGGTTTATGTTCTTTGTTATAACAATATAGGATATTATATTAGTTGTTTGTTTTTTGGTTTTGTTTTTGTTTTTATGTTAAAACCTTCTATTTCTGGGAAAAATCCATCTTGGTCTTGGTGTAAAATCATTTTTATATGTTATTGGATTCAGTTTGCTAAATTTTAAATTACTTTTGTGCCTATGTTTATGAAGGATATTCATCTGTAGTTTTCTTATGTTTTCTGGCTTTGATAGCAAAGGCCTAATAGAATGAGTTAGGAAGTGTTCCTTCCTTTGCTTTCTGAATGAGTTTGTAGGAGTTAGTGTTACTTCTTTTAGGTGTACTCAGATTTGCTATTTCTTCTTGAAGTCAGTTTTGGTAGCTGTTGTATTTCTAGGAATTTGTCAATTTTATTAGTGTTTTCTAATTTTTTGGCATAAAAGTTGTTTGTAACATTCCTTTATAATATTTTAATTTCTGTAGTGGCAATAGTAATGCTCCTTCTTTAATTTCTGACTGTAATTGTACCTTTTATTTCTTTTTGGTTGGTCTCACTAAACATTTGTCAGTTTCTTCAAGTTGTATCAGTGTATGTGAAAGGGCTGCTGTTGTTGGAAGGGCTGAAAATCATTCTTTAGGCTGGCCCTCCTGGAATGACTTTTATCTCACCATAAAATAAATAAGCCAAAAGAGCCATTCTTTTTTTCTCTGCCATTGGAACTGTTGACATCAAGAACATGATGCCATTACTTGTAATCAAGGCATCAGGAATCCTTCACAGCAACTCCCACAAAGTAGAGACTGAACACTGGAGCACTACAACAGAAATCTCTCACATCTTTACAATGGTGCTTGCAACAGAAACATTCAAAGCAGAAGAATAATGACCACAAAACTTTCACCTTTCAAATCTCACATAAGATTCTACCAATCAGATGAACTTATTCATGTCTAGAAGTATAAATGCAAGGAGGTCTGGACAAATATAGTTTTAACTTTCCGTCTTCCATAGGCTGTAAACAGTGTGAGGTGGTAGGAATGGATGCTGAGTGCCATTAGCCATTTCTAGCACAGTTAGGTTCATATGAATTTAGAACTTAATTTTCCTTGGTCTGTAATAGGAGGTAGTATCAGAGCAAGACATTAATGAGGCCAGTCATCCTTACTTTCTTATTTGTGCCTTTCACTGACTGAATCATTCCTTTAGTCACAGGAAAAACCTTTACTACTGGAAAAGAATGACTGATGTTGAATCATCTTCATGTAGAATTGAAATATTTTTTAGAATGTAGACTATCATCTAAATGTTTCTCTTTAAACTGTAAAATATCACTTTCTCTCTAGCTGTACTGTTTATTTTACCACTGAGAGCAATACAGAATCATACTCATGAGGTTGCTTATTAAATGTCATTTGTGATAACAAATTTGACATCAGGAATGGGCTGTACTTTTCTTAAACATTGCTTTTGGAGTTATGAGAGAGAGAATTAGTTATGTGAAGTACCTACCAATTACAGTTTAACTTCCTATTGCAAGGGCACTGTGGATCTCACTTGGGAAGTTATGCAACATGCTAGTTGTAATCTTCCCTGTCTACCTTTACTTAGATCCTAATATTTGTATTTGTTATAGTGAATCCACTTCTCTTTGTATTTTTATTTCATTATTTTTCTCTTTCAACTTTTATTATACATACAGAAGATGTCAGGTTTGGTTTTTTGTTTTTTGTTTTTTGTTTTTTTACTGGAGCTTATGTCATGAAAGTTTTCTTGAGGTGGAATAAAAATCC